ATGATAGAGCCAGGAATAAACAGCTACTGATGTGACAACCGCGCCGAATTATGTAACTTTGTGGTCAGAGAATTAAAGATACGTTCTGTAGGGTGGCACACAGTGTAATTGAAACTTGTACCAGTGTCTTTAGTTTTGTTATAAGTGTTGCTTAGATCAGGATATCCGGACATTTCAAAAACATTTATAATTTTACAATAAATATATAAATATATATATATTTCAAGTAAATGCTGTTCTTTTGAATCTAATATTCATCAAGAATCCTGAAAAAACAGCAGCACAACTGCTGTCAACTTCAAAAATAATAAATGTTTCTTGAGCACCAAATCAGCATTTTAAAATTATTTCTAAAGGATCATGTGACACGGAAGTCTAGAGTAGTGGCTGATAAAAGTTCAGCTTTGTCATCATAGGACGAAATTACATTTAAAATGTATTTTAATATTAAATTAATAATTTTTTTATAATATTTAATATAAAATTAATAACATTTATAAAATATAATAATATTTTCACAGTATTGTTTATATATATATATATATATATATATATATATATATATAAATTGAATAAATTATTTATATATAAATAACAATTTTATATTAAAATGCATTTTAGCATCATAGCATCTCTGAAACAGTGAGGCTTGTAAGATGCTCCTGGTCAGCATTTGTGAACAGCGGTCCAAAGACGGATAAACCACAAATTGGTTACAGCATGTGTATGGATCATCGATAGTAGAAGGTCTATGGAAACACTTTTAATGATGGACCTGTGAATGTGAAGACTGGTCAGAATGCCCATGATGGCCTCTGTCCACAGCCAAAAGCTCATAGAATGGGCACACAAGCAACAGAACTGGAGCAGTGGAAGAAGGATGTCTGGTCTGATGAGTCCCCTTTTCTTTTACATTGTGTATACTTGGATGTAATGGCACCAGGATACACTACGGGAAGATGACAAGCTGGTGGAGGGATTGTGATGATCTGGGCAATGTTCTAATGGGAAACCCTGTTTCTGGCCATTCATGTGGACGTCAGTTTGACACAAGCCACCTACCTCAACTTCATCGCAGACCGGGTACACTGTTTATTACAATGGTATGGCAATAGCCTCTTTCAGCAATTTTTCAGGAATGGTTTAAAGAAACATAATCAAGGTGTTGTCCTAATCTCAAAATTCTTCAGAAGTTAATCTGATTGAAAATCTATGGGATGTGCTGGACCAACCAGTCCAATCCATGGTGGCTCAACCTCTTAGCTTAAAGGGATAGTTTACGCAAAAATGAAAATTCTCTCATTAATTACTCACCCTCACGTCGTTCCAAAACTGTGTGACCTTGGTTCATCTTCAGAACACAAAGTAAGATATTTTGATGAAATCTGAGAGCTTTCTGACCCTGCATAGACAGATAATGGTGGAGGACGGTGACGTGGAAGAGAAGAATTGTTGAATAACTATTTTTGTTTTCTTTGCACACAAAATGTATTCTCGTAGCATTGTAATTTCGTAAAATTACGGTTGAACCACTGATGTCATATGGACTATTTTAACAATGTCCTTTCTACCTTTCTGGGCCTGGGAATATTTCAGTTACATTACTGTCTTGTCAGAAAGCTCTCGGATTTCATCAGAATATCTTAATTTGTGTTCTGAAGATGAAAGAAGGTCTTACGGGTTTGGAACGACATGAGGGTGAGTAATTAATGACAGAATTTTCATTTTTGGGTGACCTGTCACTTTAAGGATAAGAAGGATCTGCTGTCAACGTCTTGGTGCCAGATACCACAAGACAGGGGACTTGTAGAGTCCATGACTTGGCATGTCAGTGCTGTTTTGGCAGCACAGGGAGGATCACCACAAAAATAAGGGCAAGATAAGCTTTTCATGTCAGAGCACCCCTATCAGATACCATTCTATAGATATCTTGATTGAATTCCATATTGAAGAACTGCACTGAACATAGTAAGAAATCAGTCGGTTTAGTCAGCAAAGGTTTTTTCAGATATCAGAAATTCCCATAACGGCATGGAATTATGGGATGGATATCACTGCACCCATCTTTGAGCTCTGGAAAATTCCCCGGGGCTTTTTCATCAGGTCTGTCAATTGGATTTGTTCCCTACCATTGATCCTTGTATAAAAACCACAACAGACCGAGCGATGGCACCAATTCCACCAGAGCCAATCAGTATGACAGCATTTGTTGTTGTTGTTTAACTCTGTGCTGATAACGCTGAGGGAAAACAGTGCCCTCTGCATTTACGGCACTTGTGATGAATCGCTTCTGCCACTTACAGAGATTTCCTTTCACAGAAGGTCAGGGATCAGCTTCTTTTGTGCAAAACTGTTTTGTGCCTAGCAAGTTGGCACCTCGGCGGCTTGGATGAATGACTCATGTGTGACATTATGATAACATTTAGATTTTGTGTTCTGGGTTGGTCCTGCAGTTTCCAGACTCTGTTAATTAGATGGTTATTTTAATGAAGGGATAAAAAGAATAACACATAATTTTAATCATCAAATACTTTTTTTACTATGTAACTATCACTTTTTCTGCTCTGTTGGGGTGTGAATATCTGCAAGGTTTTTTTCCAGATTGCAGTTTTCCATCAGTACAGTAGTTGTAAATATTTCTCTCTGCCCTCCATTAAAGCTGACCACAGTGATCTCATGTGTCAGTAGTGTCAGTACTGCTTATGCTTTCTAGGCAGGTAAAAGGTGTATAAGACGTGATTGGCAGAGGTGTGAAGTGAGCCAACACACACACCTGTGCTGTTGCATAACAGAGTTACACAGGCCTTACATCACACCAGTGTCCTGAACACTTCTCTGCAATGCTGCTTTGAAAAGGGACCTGTGAAATGTTGCTATCGGATTGAACAATGAGCTTTTGTTTACTGGATGCTGATGTGATCTTTGAAGATTCGCTGCAGTGTCTGTCCAGCAACACACTGCGAGAGAAACCTCAGCTCTCCTTTTTTGATGCTGGGCCATCATAATAGATACAATCATATATTTATATATTATATAATTTCTTAAAGAAATTGCATTAGGGATGCACAACATATCAATACCATACAAAATAAATAAAACCTTTAAAAACGTAGTTATTTAATTAGTAATTAAATCAATTAATTGTTTAATTAATACTGTTAAATGTAATCTTTTGTAAAACTCAAAAGAATTATCCATTGCTCATACTGTACATTTAAATTGAGCTTTTAGTGATTATTTTTATTTATTTTGTCAAAGTAGCATATCATTTTAATAGCAACCATAGCATGAAAATAATAGTCTTCTTATATGTATTGGCCAGAATTTTAATATTATGCACTTTTATCAGTATTCCTTTTAATTATATTTATTTTGTTTGTTTATTTCAATTCCTTTATGCATGTATGCATTCATATGTTACAGTTCATTTAATGATGAAGCAGGTCATCATGGTATGTGTCCTCCTTATCTCCACGAATCTGATGTCAACATCACTAAACTAAAACTACTTTGCACAGGTCAGCGTGTTAATCTTTAATATGTTTTCATTAAAGGAATAGTTCATCCAGAAATGAAGTCATTTATTCACCCTCATGTCGTTCCAAACCTGTATAATGGAATGTTTAGTGACCAGGGGCTGTCAAGCACTAAAAAGGTAAAAAAAGAACACAATAAAATTAGTCCATACACTGTATATTCTGCCTTCTTAGCCAGCTTAACCAATGAAATATCCATGATGATAAACAAGTTTCACTTGCAGATTGACGATTTATTTTGTTTGTTTATTTCAATTCCTTTATGCATGTATGCATTCATATGTTACATATGTAACATTTAATGATGAAGCAGGTCATCATGGTATGTGTCCTCCTTATCTCCACGAATCTGATGTCAACATCACTAAACTAAAACTACTTTTACTAACAACTGCACAGGTCAGCGTGTTAATCTTTAATATGTTTCATTTTTCATTAAAGGAATAGTTCATCCAGAAATTAAGTCATTTATTCACCCTCATGTCGTTCCAAACCTGTATAAAGGAATGTTTAGTGACCAGGGGCTGTCAAGCACTAAAAAGGTAAAAAAAGAACACAATAAAATTAGTCCATACACTGTATATTCTGCCTTCTTAGCCAGCTTAACCAATGAAATATCCATGATGATAAACAAGTTTCACTTGCAGATTGACGAGTTTAATCAGCTGAGATTTGCTGGTTAACAGCGTGGCAATAACTAGCATTAAAATCATGGTGTTTTTAGCTGGTGTTGATTTTACATGCCACACACACTCTCCCTTACACACACAAAGAGCTGGCGTGTCATGAAGGCGGATGTCCACTCCTTCCACCTGGGTAGTGTGTAAGTCTACACCGCTTGCAGGAAACACTCAGAGCTGCACATGAATTAGTGATTGGCACATCCCCTCTTGTTACACAAACCTTCTGTGTGTGTGGGAACAGGAACACTGAAATGCAAACACAAACAAGCTGCATACAGACAGCAAAAATAATAAATTATTATTCTTACAATTTAAATATTACATTTATTCAAATTATAGTTTTATTCATAGAAATTAAAAGGGATAGAGAAATGATACAAATTTATATCAAAAAATATCAAACAACACGCTTATATCTTAAACAACAGTTAATTGGCCTTCTCAGTATAGTGAATATGGACATTGTGTGGGGTAAATCTAGAAGTTGTTCTGGTGTCCTTGAATGAACCTATTGTTTTATTTTCTTCCTGTCACCGTTCTGTCTGTACTTGCTCCATCAGCACAATAAAGGTCACTCTTCATATTTCACCTGCCTCCTGTTCAAAACCGTCTAAATCAGCACTGAAGGGTCCTGTACTGTGCTTCTAGGGCACAGGAGAGCATGATGCTAGTTTCATAATAACACAAATGCTAAAAACATCAGCAGAATTGTGAAATTACACACTGCAAACGTTTACAGTAGACATCAAGTTATTTAATGGAGAACTGAAGCAGTTCTGAAATGTGTTTTGTTTGTAATTCTCCTCAGGAGCGGTTTGAGGCTCTGTTCAGGATCTATGATGATCAGACGTCCTTCCAGATGTTCAAGAGTTTCAGAAGAGTTCGGATCAGCTTTAGCACTCCAGAGGCTGCTGCACGCGCACGCATCGAGCTCCATGAATCCGATTTCAACGGCACGAAACTAAAACTGTACTTCGCACAGGTCAGTGCTTTAATCTTTATTATGTTTCATTCTTCATTAAAGGGATAGTTCTTCCAGAAATGAAAATTCTGTCATAATTTATTCACCCTCATGTTGTTCCAAACCTGTGTGCAGGAGCTGTCAAACTCCAAAATGGCACAAAAGAACTTCATATTAAATTAATCCATGTGACTTGGGAACTATATTCAAATACTATAAACTAAAGATATAGTTCCAAAAAGACTGAAATACACAATTCTGTTCAAAAGTTTGGTGTCTGTAAGATTTTTTTGTGTTTTTGAAAGAAGTTTTATTTTAAGGTTGAATTTATTTTAATCAAAAATACAGTAAGAACAATGATATTGTGAAATATTATTACAATTTAAAATAAAAATTTTCCTTTAATTTCTATATTAATATATTTTAAAATGTAATTTATTCCTGTGATGGCAAAGCTGAATTTTCATCAGTCATTACTGCAGTCTTCAGTGTCACATGATCCTTCAGAAATTACAATATGCTGTTTGAATTACTAATATGCTGATTTGATGCTCAAGAATCATTTCTTGTTATCAGTGTTTAAAACAGTTGTGCTGTAAATATTTTTTGTGGAAACTATTAAAAGAAAATATTTTTTTTATTAATTTCTTTAAAAAAGCTTACTGACAAAACTTTTGAGTGGCAATGTAAGTTCATATTCATTCAAAATCATGTATTCATTTTTCATAATTTTGCTCTCCCCTGAAGCTTGCATATAGCCAATGTTCTGTTCAATGTTCATACAATGTTTTTTGTATGTTATGTTTATTGGAGCATTTTCAAATTGAACATTTAAAAATACCCAAAAACAAATACATACAGAAAAGATAATTATACCGTTCTTTTACTTGCTACACCAGATGTAAACGAGGAAGGGCATAGCAAGTTTGTACCCACAGTAACATCATGAATCAAGCAAGGTGCATAAGGCATTTGATTCATTTAAAACATCGTCTTTGACAATAATTGGACAATTATCGGAAGCAACATGAGCTGAGATCTCAGGACTGTCAGTGTAACATTAGCAGGAGACCAGACGAGAGAAGAGGGGAGTTTAGTTCTTCATTTCTCCTCTCAGAGGTCTGTCAGCTGGGGATAGTCAAAGAACACACAGTTCCCAGCACAGTAACACACACATACACACACATTGTGGAGACTAATCATCATTGCTATTAATTGTGTGAAATCAGACAGATACAATTATATTTCTAGAATCAGTATGTAGTAAATGTGCTCCACGTGTTTTATTCAGAGCACAGAAAGAGTGGACGCACTCCTCACAATGATTCTGTGTATTTGTGTGCTGCTGTGTAGGAGTGCGGATATGATCTAGGTTAGGGTGACCATACGTGCCATTTTCCCAGGACGCGTCCTGGCCAGGACTTGTTTTGGCTTTGTTTTCCTGTTTTCATGCTTGCTGAAGGTAATGATCGAAAAGTAGTTTGACCAATAACATGCAAGCATTGTACATAATGGACCAATCATGGCGGGTGAGAAGGTGGGATCTACGGTCAAAGCGATGCAATTACGCGTACATATTAGGTGTGTTCGACTTAAAAGCAGTGCGGCTCAGACCGATCAGTGTTTGACATCAAAGTACCTCGAGAGCGTTTCGAAAGCATAACCGTCTGTATGGTACTTTGATGTCATACACCGATCTGTCTGCACACGCAAACAAAGCCAAAACCTAGATATTTTAGGCAATATAGAAATCCTGGCCAGGACGCGTCCTGGGAAAATGGCACGTATGGTCACCCTAATCTAGGTAGGACAACGTGTGTCTTTTAAACAGTGAAAGATTAGCCTGTTTCCTTCAGAGAGATGTAATTATGGTGAGAATATTCCTTCAAATCAATTAGATCTGGGCCTGAACTGTGCTATATTTAGCTAAGAGGATGTATTTAATTTAAAAGGAGAGGAGCTTTTTCTTGTACTGTTTAGTCTTGTTTTTCGCTTTATCACCCCATCTTTTTTCTCTCTGACCACAGGTGCAGAATTCAAGGGACGACATGGAAAAGACATACCTTGCCCCACCTCAACCTGTCAAGCAGTTCCTCATCTCTCCACCTGCGTCCCCACCTGTGGGATGGAGCCAGAGTGAAGATGCCACACCTTTGATCAACTACGACCTGCTGTGTGCTGTGGCCAAATTGGGACCAGGTACAAAACACAAACACACACACTGTCAGCATACAAGCATATGCCACTTACTCCCACACATACAAACAAGCTGTGCTGAGTGTAAGTGTGTGTAACCATCTGAACCAAATGTGTGTCCTCACGGACTTAAACACTGGTTTTCACACCAAAAGTGGATTAAAAACACTTGCGAACTTCTGTAGATAGATTAAGTGACCCCAAAAGCATTTGGAGTACAAACATTTTCTTGAAAAGTGTGCTTGTGCTTTAAAAAAAAAAAAAATTTTTTTTGTATTTATCTTTTGCCATGGGCTATGGACTGATAATATACAATATATAAAGTCCTTAAAGGGGACTGATATATTTATCAGTCCCCAAATGTGGACAATTTCTTCTATAGCTTTATTTTGTTTAAGGTTTAGTGTATAAACCTTAAAATGCACATTTCTGTCAGGCACTGGATGCAATGAATCCAGAATATGTAATGGTAAACTAAGAAACTAAAGTATTTTTCATGTATTTAAAAGAAATGTCATATACACCAAGGCTAAATTTATTTGATACAGTAAAAACAGTGATATAGTGAAATATTATTACAATTCAAAATAACTGTATTCTATATGTGTTAAGATATAAGAAATAAGAAAGTAACAATGTAAAAGTCTTTACTGTGATCAATTGAATGTGTCCTTATTGAATAGTATCAACCTTACTTTCGTTTTGATCGGTAGTGTAGGTCAGCACTAGTTGTATTTAATGTTTATTCATGATTTCATGGAAGTTATTATACAGTCAGTGTTACTGAGAAGATGAAGCATATATGGGGGGGGGGGTCCCTGAATTGGAAAATGTTGACAATCCCTGACCAAATTCAATGGCAGATACATTTTTTAATGTGACTTTAGTGTTCAAATAATTTTTGGGGCCACATTTCCAGATCCCATTCCTCCATCTTCTTCACCATCTCCTGATATCACTCTACTGTATGATGAATTAAAATGGCAAGAAGGCTAAAATTATATTACAAGGATGCTGTATTGTAAAAAAAAAAATTATCAACTAATGTTTTAATGTGTGGTTGGTGATCAAATATTGTGTTTAAAAACTGAACCGTAATAGGTGGCAACAGTAAACAGAAATGGACTGTTAAAACAGTTTTAGATTTTCCTCTTCATGTGTGCTGTGTCTGCGCCCCCTGCTGGTACATATCACAACACACACACACACACACACACACACACACACTGACTTCCTGCCAGACAAACCTTTTATCACCTCTTATTGGTTGGCTCGTTACTATAGCAACCCTCATTCTGTTTCTCAGTGTTTGTGTGTTCTCAATGGTGGTGCTTCTATTACTTAATCTTTTAATGGCTTTCAAATCTCATAATTGGTTAGTGAGAGGACATTTATGTGGACATTTATCTATAAAATGTCCACCCAATGCAGAAAAGATGGCAAAACCAATCTAACAAAAAATGTTTCATATCTGGGTTTTCTCATTTTAATTGTTGATGATATGACATAATACTCTTATTCCACTCTTCAGTAAGAGTTGTTGGAGCGCCATATGTCATGTTGAACTAAATGCAAAAAAAAAATCTTATATATATATATATTGGATGGATGGATGGATGAATAGATAGATAGCCTAGTCTTAGAAGAACACTGTGTTGAGCTAGAGGCAAAAATAATTTTGTATATCCTTATTAATAATATATTTTTTATTATTATATAGCCTGAGAAGAGCACCATGTTGAACTAGAGACAAAAATAATTTTGTACAACATTATTATTATTATTTTTAATCACAGACCATTTTGTTAATTTATAGGGACCTATGGTTTTAGGGTTTAATTTACCTCATAATTTACATTAGCTGTACAGTTTGTCCAAGCCATGCAAAGAACGTTTTTCCTCATTGGTAAATTCTTGTTCTTGGGAAGTTCTTCTTTAACAGTTTTTGTGATTGTTGTCAGTATATCATAGGTCAACATTTGGTTCAATAGACAATGCAGCCATGACGGATGCAGAATGTCCGGGAATGTGTTTGTACTAGACTTTTCATGAAAGTTAAAAATGTCCTACCCACAGCATGGCTTTCTTCAATGATGAAGAAGTTCATAGCTAAATTGAGGACATATTTGGCTGGGAAGGAAGGCTTGCGTTCTGAAACTAACTTCATGTTTTTTTTAGTATGTCCATTAATTTCAAAAGGTGTTCATCTTTTATCTGTCTCTCTAGGTGAGAAGTATGAGCTGCATGCGGGTACAGAGTCCACTCCTAGTGTGGTGGTCCACGTGTGTGAGAGCGATACTGAGGAAGAGGAAGAAGCCCGCCCAAAAGCCAAGATTGTCCAGACCGGACGCCCCGACGGTCCCCCAAAAGTCTACAACTAAAACCTTTGGCACACTTCACACGTTTTTCTCTCTCTCTGTGTCTCTTTCTCTCATCCAGGGAAAGGCACACTTTATTTCAATAACAAAAAAAGCTAAACTAAGAATGGGATGGATGTGGAGGGGTGCTCCGTGCACAGGTGACGTGTGGTGTTCTGAACTGGACTCGTGAACTGAACACACTGTCTCACTGCTGCTCACGGGACAGCCAGGGGGCGATGAGCTTGCGACCCCCGTCTCACAATCATAGCGCTTTCATTCCCTCATTTAGAGTCTTTGTACTGTAGCATTGAAAAGCAGTAATTGTATTTAACAGTCGTAGAAGTAGGTTACATGTAAACTTTGTTACTGTTTGTCACTTTGATTGATCATCAAAGAAAATAACGCTTTAAAAAAGGAAGCCGACCCATTCTGCTTTCTCCGTGTCTCTCTCGACAGCCGTGTCCGCATTCATCTCCATATCGGTCAGGTTGGCACTCCTGCAGAGGTGGCGCGGCTCGCTGGGATTGTGACCCGTGTGCGTATTTATGCCTGTTCATACCATGCTAGAATGAGATGACAAGTTGTTAAATGGAAATGGTAAGAACAGTTATGATGAGAGGGTGTTTACTAAGTTAGATGTGTATTATTCTTACTGTGTATTTGATACCACACATTTTTGCATGCTGACTGGCGTATTTTATACTCTATGTTAAAGCAACTTTAAGCATATCTGATCGCTGTCTTTCAGAGTGATTGGCCTTGGAATGCGAAGAAACAGTTGTCAGGTGTAAAGTTCGATATTTTGTATTTGTATAGCGCATCATTCACTTGCAGGACAGATAAACAATTAGGAAAAAGCACATGGTTTGGGTCTTAGTTTTACACCATCTCTGTTTTGGCATGATTCTGTATCACTTGACAGTGTTTGGTGTTTTTCATATCTTCATTGATTTATTGAATATACATTGACATGCTCAAGTTTCGAAATGAAAATCAATGTGCCGAATGACCCAGAACTGAGTACTGATAATGATACTGTCATATTGTTAAGTTGTGCATTTTGCAATGACAGATCAAATCATATAAAGGGATAGTCCACCGAAAAATGAAAATTCTGTCATAATTTACTCCAAACCTGTATGACTTTCTTTCTTCTGTGGAACTATCCCAGTTCTTTTGTGTCTCATAATTGTTTTTCCAGTTTATAAACCTCCACTGTGTTAATTCATACCAAAAAGGTAAAAATAGATGAAATGTCATTTTAAGATATTTGTTTTAGTAATAATGTACAGTCAGTGAAGTAGAATGTCACGATTGACCAATCAGATTGAGGATTGCAGAGAGGCTTATAAAGATGGCGGTTAAATTAGCCTTATAAAAAAAGTCACATTTTAGTCAAAAAATAATTTAAAAAAAAAAAGGAAAGAAAATTCAGTTAAACATTGAGTGATATTCAGTCATATTTTGAAATGCAATGAAAAAGAAATAATGCAAACAAATAACTGTGAAATTCATGTGACTTTATAAATTGCCTTGCTCCCTTACATACATGTGAGAAAAAGATTTCAAGTGTTTTGTTTAAAAGCCAATCCTTTAGTGATGAAGGACTCATTTAGCAAATAACTTAATATAGAAATAAATAATTTAACTTTTTTTTATTTTGTACTTCTGCATGCTGTGACTTTTCCATAGATGCAGTCTATCCCGTTTGTATCTCACTCTGAATGCAGCCCTTTTCTCCTGCCTTTTTCATCCTGTTGTGTTTCAGTCAATACAGAGGTGAGAAACATGGTGAACAAAGCTATTTGAGTTCTTGATAACCAGCATGAACAAATGTTTTGGACTCTTTGAGTTTTGTGTGTGTTAACCTTTAAGACAAAAGGAAGAAGTTAAGTATATGAACACAAGAAGCAAATTTGTACCGAGTTGTAAGATAAGCCTACCATTGGCAGCATAATGTATTGATATTTTTTACTGTCTTTAAGGCTGTTGTTGCAGTTGCTCCGTATCAGTAAAATTACCTTGTTCTTTCTTTTCTTTTTATAAGGAAGCCTACAGATAGTCAGTTCTATCACCGTTGCTGTTCTGTTTGGATCTAGATATTGTCTAGTACTTTAAGTGTAGTTCATAACCCGTGAACACGAAGCAATAATTTACAGTTATATGTCTGTGTATGGTATACATTTTTTTTATTTTATTTTATTTTTTTGCAGAGCTCTTCTCTGACTCTTAGCTTGCTTTTGTTTGTGTAAATATGATTGTTATTTGTTTCTCATTGGCATATAAATATATAAATAAAGATATATATATACAAAGAACTGATTATTAAAAAAAAGATGTTGTAATGTGTTTATTTCACCCAAGTAGTCAAGTACCTCCCAACGTGACAGAAAAGTGTGCATCTAGATTAAAGTCCATTATGATTCAATACTGTTTAAGGGTGTGAATAACGTTTATTGGCACCATATTTTATTAATCATAGATGATAGGATGTCCCCACCAGGAAATATTTACAAAATTGTGTGTGTGTGTGTCCTTCTCTTCCTCATTCCATCTGTGTTTGAAGGAGTGGTCATGCGTGGGCAAAAACTTCAATTCTGAATAGACATTGTCCGTGTGAAATTTTACTGTTTTTTTTTTTTTACCTCATTAATGCAAAAACAATATCAAATTCCGATTGTGCCAGGCTTTATAAATATCTCAGTTGTGCTTATTGTCTGTTTTTGCCTTTTTTTTACCAAAGGTAGGTTTAACTGTCACAGTCACACAATTAGCCTACTTTCCACTATCCAGTTTTTCTTTATCTGATAGTAAAAGGAGGTTCATCTCCACCTCACCAGAGGAGAATGGGACACACCTGATTTTTGTTTTTACCTGTCAATGAGGAGATCCCAGCCCAGTCTCCTGGGATACAAATACTGATACAAAGATACTAATTATACAGGCTCTCACATGTCCTGTTGGGAATTATTCTTCGAGGGAAATAATAAGGAGCTTGTGAATCACATCCAGTAGCTTTGAACAAGATGTACAACAAGAACTAGATCCGCCTGAATTTGTAACGTTTTTCCCCTTGCATAATGCAAATCGATGTGTATACTGAAAATCTGCTTATAACCGCTTAAATGTGGCTATACAAGGAATCTGATAATTTACTGAAGATTGGATCATATATCACTTATACAGTATAATATTATTGACTTATTCATTTATAAATATTGCAAAAAGTGGCCCCAAAACGTATTTAGACACTTAATTGTAAGTCACACTTGAAATGTACAAATGTCATTGTACAATCTAGCAAAATATCAAACTGAGCAATATATAAATAAAAAAGCACACACATAAGCAAAATATTTAATAAGAGGTTTGTTTTAGGTGCATATTAAAATTCTGGCAGATACCAATGAGCAGATTCCCCAGTACATTATAGGTGATATAAACGATAAATTGCCGATAAATATGTAAATTATAGGCCTATAGGCCTACTAATTTATCCAATTAATACAACCTAAAATTATTATTAAATACTGTTACTAAAGATTTTTTTAAGTGAGCATCAGATGTCAGCAAATAGACAATGCTATCTATATCCAATATCAACAAATGTTGATAAATTAAACATATTAATTAAATAATTTGTTATCTACTTTTATTTTGTTATCGACTGCAATGTAAATCATGCAATTTTAAGAGACCAAACTCTTGGGGCCACTGTATTGTAGGCTATAATGCCTTGTTTCTGCAGTCTCTCTTTGAGGGAGAAAAAAAGGTAGCCACAGTGTGATATATGGACAAACAAAAGCAGCTTAAACTATGTAATCAGTGTAATCTTCGGGCCGGATGTGTAATGCCCTGAGATGGGTGACTGATTGCAGTGCAGTGTGTACCTGCGCTCGCCATATGTTTGCTGATGACCAATGGAAACAGCCTGACTTCAGCTCTTATCTTGTGTATGTGTAGAGCAGGTAGTCTATGCAAGATACTTAAGCGAGTTAAGTTAATTGACTGAATTATGAATTATTGTTGTAAGCATGCATGTCTATTGAAGATACCTCAGGGTGAAAATAATGGTGCTGCTGAGTATATTGAACATGACGTCAAAACTGAAAGTTTGCGGGATATTTTTACTATACAAAAATATCTTGTTTTCAACAGAAATATAAAACGCTGTAGTAATAATAACGGTAAGTTTAGAGTGTGTAACTGTATATGTCACCAAAAAATCTCTGAAACGAACCCACAAAGTCGCGCACACCAGACTAGGTAACAACACTGCTCACACGATTTTAATTGCAAACATTTTTGGGTAGTACTTCGATAAAGCACAAAAAGTACTATTATTAAGTAGGCTATCACTTTATTACACAAGTACATATGACAAATATGTCACAAAAATGTTAGTTTTTGTTTAGACAATTGATGTGAGGCTAACTGCTAGTGGCGTCAAATTACAGTTTGTATCGCGAGACGACGAACCTCGACAGATTGCGTCTTGAATACCTGTACATTTAAATGTTTAACAAGTGAGCAGAAGTTAAAATATCCTTTAAAAGCTGACATTTCTGCGAAGATGCAGAACAGTCCCTCAGAATTATTTATTTCGCAAAATGTGGAACAGCCCATTCCATGGCTTTGTAAAATTCCAATTATAAAACGGATAGTTCCGGTCCTTGATTCTGATTGGTTGAGCCAAGTTCGGCAACCACTTTGTTGAAACCACAACCGTTTCTGAGGAACTACGTTGTTTAGCAGAAGAATAATGTTTTTATTAATATCATTACACTTCATTTGCTCTGTTTTATTTTGTGAAACCTTACTACGTATGGAATAACCGTTTTATAAAAGCAATAAGCCCTGTGAAGCCATGGTTTACAGTGAATTTATAACAGCAAATGGGGTTGTTATAAACATGCCTAACAACGTGCCTAACAACGCCCCTTAGCTGTTATAAATTCACTGTAAACCATGGCTTCACGGGGCTTATTGCTTTATTAATCAATCAAACCAGATGATGTAAGACTGGCAGCGGTGACCGTTATGGATCAGTTTTGTTTGAACTAGATTGAGGCCGAGGACAATAGAGTCTCTTCTGTAAGTCTCCACTCTCCTCCAGTTGTTTGTGAAAGCTGAGAAGGACATTTAAAACGTGTTCTTGTTATATAATGATGCCATCTGAAAAAAAGAGTGCAAACTGCCAAACACAAGAACCACAAAATTTCCCACTGGGACAAGTTGTATCAGGGACCATGAACGAGACAAGAAGTGTAGAGAAAGTATGGTAATATCTGTTATTTCATTTCGAACATATCTAAAACCGAAAGTGGCTGTCTCACAAAAATAAATAAATAAATAGAAAGAAAAAAAAGAAAGAAAGAAGGAAAGAAAACACTTTTGCTCTTTACAAGTAACTTGATTCCTGCTGAGGCATATTGCACTGGCTGGTCGACTGGAAAACCCATGAGTGAAACTCTATCATGAGATCCCTTAGAGGAAGGAATCCCTCAAAAAGAACAAATGTCCCCTTTCTTTTATTGTTTGTGTGTGTGTGTGTGTGTGTGTGTGTGTGTGTGTGCGTGCGCGCGCTTCTGCTTCTGAGAACCTCAGAACTGTGAAAAGGGTCTATTCTGTCATATTGTAATATGTCTGTGCTCATGCTGGTTCAATAGGTAGCTAAACAAACAACCGTTTGATTTATTCAATCTTTCAACCTTATCTATGTGATAAGTGTTTATTTGTCAGTCTGTCAGTCTGTGTGTGTGTGTGTGTGAGTGTGTGTGTGTGTGTGTGTGTGTGTGTGTGTGTGTGTGTGTGTGTGTCGGGGTGGAGGGATGAAACATACCCTTTTCTGAAGGAAATTGCTTTTGAAAGAAAGAGTTGCAGAAAACACCAAGGTATGACTCATCTTAATTATGCTGTTATAGTTATACACATTTAAATGCTAAATAATTAATTACACAATACAATTTTGTCTAATAACTTGGTTAATAATGTCTGATAATTAGATTAGAATAGGTTAATTGGCTTAAATGACAGACAAAAACAGGATATTCATCAACCAAGTGAATCACAACAATTCTGGTGTTCTGGTATCTGCTCAAATTTATTTGCAGTTGAGTGTATGTTAAGGATGTACTTGAAGGGAATCTGATTGAATATTTAAATGTGGCTGATAAGACATCTTCTGTAAACCACATCAGCTCTCTCTGTGGCCCTTGATTTGCATGTGTACAGCACGTGTGCTAATCTTGTAATGATTTTCTACTATTCTACATTCTGTTACACAGAGAAAGTCAATGAGAAATGCACTGTATGTGTATGTTTGTGTTTAATTAAAAGTGAGTACTGACCGAGAGCGGAGTGTGTGAACTGTGTTGTGAATGTGGCACGCCTTGGGGGCCAGGCCAGACCTGAAAAACCAGCTACCGCTTTCAGTCCAGAGAGCTCTGATATGGCACGTCGTGTCTACCTCCCTGCCAAGGGCTGAAACCATCCCTTGCTTTCGACTTCTTCAGTTTATAATCACGCCTGAAGTGGACATTCAGTCATTTCACCTGCTCAGACTCATTTCAGACAGGTTTCCATTGTGTTTTTAAGCCCCAGCTCTGTTAGCGGCAGCGTGTGTGAGGGAAGGAGCGTGTGGACTATGCTTACTTCAGTCAACTGAAGGAGGGGGAGTGGAGGAATTGATACTGTGGAGAGAGAACTCCACGACGGGGAACTGATCGTACAGGTAAGCCAATATGCAACCAAACTTTACCCATTATCACTTTGCACCTTCAGTTTTGTGTGTGATTTGTCACCTGTCATCTTAGGACCCCTGAGGGTCCCTGGCTGCATGCCTCCAGGTGTGTGTAGGAAAGATATTTAGATCAACAGACTGTGTATATTTAAGTAACTATTATTCAACTCACGGTCTCTGTTGTACAGCCAAACAGGTGCAAACCACACAGTAAAAAATGATTTTTCAAAGTTGTAAAGAAATTATTATATGTTTTACAATGAAAACTATTTCATCAATACTATTTGCAGCTACTTTGAAATTATTTGTGAAATTTGCTGGCAATTTCTGAATGAAAATTGTTTATACATTTTTTTTTAAGTACGTTTACCTAAAGTAAAACTCATCTCAGTAGGTCGGATTGTGGTTTTTGGCAGAAACACTGTAAAAAGTGATCTTGAGGTGAAATTTATATCCAATCAGACCCTTAAAAATGACTTGTTGTTGTTATGTAATATATTCTGGTGGAT